AGATTGGTCCATGTAGTGATCACGCCAGGTGCAAGTGACTTTAACCGATCTATAGCAGCTCATGTAATGTGACTGGAAGCATCCTTAGTAGCACTGCATCTCGTGAAACATTTGGAACATTGAAGTAGTTTGCAATGTCCAACACCTCGTCAATATGTCGAAAGGCATATTCATGGTCCTTCCAAGAAAACGGAATATTTTTGAGCATCGAGAGAATGTGTCCATTGACGTCAAAGTTTGTCGTTGTTGGAATTTCTAGTGGCACAAGACCTGACCCATTGTCATTAGGCATCCGCCTTTGGTACTCCTCCATGGTCATTTCATCAATGTTCACCATCGTGTTGTCGGGTTCACTTTTGAATTCTTCTTCATAATCTCTCTCAGTTTTTGTTTTCGGCTCGTACCCGGTGTCTTTCTTGTCGAGAGTCTTTTCGAAAGTTTCTACCTTGTCTATTTGAAAACCTCTACTAGATTCGCCTTGCTTTTTATCCTTCTTCTTGTGAAAAGCGGATTTTGGATTATCAAGTGGTGGAACAATTTTAAAATTTGATCCCTTGTTTATATATCACTGAAACAAAACAAAAGAAACACGTAAAAACGAACTAAAATGAAATAAACAAAAAACTGAAAAACACAGTTTTCACGTCGTGGCCAAAGGATGGTCACGTCGTGATATCTGATAAAACAAAAAAACTAATAACGAACTAAAAATTAACTTTTGCGGTTTTTACCCCACAAAAAGGATCAAATAACAAATAGGAATTAAATTAAAACTAAAATAAGTCGTTCCCCGGCAACGACACCAAAAACTTGATGTGTAGTTTTATATACCTACTAGTTTTCAATTTATAAACTTAATCAACTTAAACGCACTTAGGCAGTGTACCTAGTCAAATTATAGAATAGTAAAGTAAGTTGGGTGTCGATCACAGGGAACGATATTTTAATTAATAAAATAACTACTAAAAGCTAAAGTAATTAGAAACAACTAATATTGGGGGGTTTTATCTGATTTTTCAAGTTCAACTTAACTTAAATTAGTAACTAAAACAACTAAAAACTCAAGCAAACAATTAAAGTTGATTATAAATCAAGATAATAAAGATACTTCCGTTTAGCTTTAATCACCTTTTTTCCTATAGTTAGTTTCAAAACATGGATTAATTTCAGTTGGTTACCAATATAAATGTTATTAGAAGTCCTGGTCCGATCTCCTAATGTTTTCACTAATTTATGAACTACTATGCAATTGTCTTACACACGTGGGACACTTAAATGATTATTGAGGATTATTGGGCTATGAATGATAATCTACGATTAATTATCTATGATGTAGACAAATAATCAAAACATAAATTATGATGTAATTATATTCTCTAACACAGTTAAAGCAACAATCTTTATAACCTAATCTAGGATTTGGCCAATCACTAGCTCTAGCAATTCAAGATTCATAAATAACTAGGTAAACAAGTTCATGCACTTAAAGTGATCATTCAACTACACAAAACTTGTAATCTAAGTAACAAAGATTGAAACTTTTAACATACTAGGTATTGATATATATCAAACACAAGCTAAACCAACATCATTAAATCCATGAAAAGAGAAACTAACATGTAGTATTAGGGTTCATCATTACTAAACGAAAGTAAATGGTTTTAGCCCATGATTAAGGCAGCAAAACACACAATCAAATAGAATGCTAGGTTAAACATGATTAAATCTAGGCAAATCGAATAAGTGATGTGAAATCTTGCTCCAATATCTTGATCTCTTGATCTCTAATCTTCTTCTGCCTTCTAAGGGTTCTTAGAAGGTGTTTTCTCTCTTTTTAATCACAGCTCTCTGCTCTAGAAGTCTCTCTTTCGACCTAATGATCGGAATATATAAACTTGCCAAAATTTGGTCTCCACGACGTGGGAAATAGATGCCACGTCGTGGGAGTCATGCTAATCCCGTATGCGCTAAGTAATCTGTGTTTTTCCGTAGAAGTTTCTTGGTCTTGACACATGGTCACGTCGTGACAAGTAATAGTCATGTCGTGAGGAAGGTTTTTGCTAGGATCGAGAAGATTCTTTATGCCACGTCATGGGAATCAAATGTTCACATCGTAGGAAATGCATTATGCTCGATTTCTTCTTCCTTTTTCTCCCAAAATCAGCTTCAGCCCTCCAAGTATCCAGCTTTCGTAAATTTCAGCTCATTTTCCTTGAGAATGTCCTTTTTGGCTGCAAGATAGAATTTAACTTTATAAGTATCAAATATATTTGTATTTTCCCAAATTAATGCTCAAATGTATTAAAATAATGCCTTAATAAGTGTATAAATATGACAATATCATTATACATCGATAAATGATTGAATGTTTATTAACAAATTGAAATGTTGTTGCATAATTGATGTCAATAACAATTGTGATGTATAAGAATTATGATGTATTGCTTTATAAAAAAACATAATTATTGAAGTATGCATTTAACTTAAAATGTTAATTGGCTAAATTTTTTTCACAATGCCTATTTGAGAGTTAGCCTAGGTTATTATTCTTTTTTTTTCGAACAACCTAGGTTATTATTCTTTTTTTTTTGAACAACCTAGGTTATTATTCTTTTTTTTCGAACAACTGAATGATTCCATTATGAAGTTAGCGTAAAGCTAACAAAAAATAACGAGATGGAAAGAATAGGGTTTAAAGGCCAAAACATTCTGCTAATACTTATTTTTCTATTTCTATTCGCAATCCAACTATAGGAATAATCAATCAATCTATCAGTTAATATATTCCTTCTAGATTTTTTGACATCGAAAAGAATATCCAAATGAGCCACCACATAATCATGATTATAGCCCCCAACACCAATCATTTGACATTAGAAAGTCGATGCACCTCGATTCAATGAACTACATCCTCAACAATGATAAAAATTAAGTGATCAAATCGCACCATCTTCGAGTGAAACTCCATAAAGCCAATGCCGCCTAACAATGGATGAAAATATGCTCTAAATCTTCCATACCCGAGTCACAAATACCACAAATATATGGAAGGGATTTCAATGCCTTTCGCATCCAAATTAACCTGAGTAGAAATAATATTTAACAAGACACGCCAATAAAAAATATTAAGTTTACGAGTAAGATACTTAATCCATCTGGTATATATATATATATATATATATATATATATATATATATAGAGAGAGAGAGAGAGAGAGAGCGAGAGAGAGAGAGTAAATTACACGAATCGTCCCTCGTGCAGGTGCCAAAAGACACGTTTAGTCCTTATTTTTAAAAATTAACTCGGACCGTCCCTCACATCGTAAAAAGTTACACGCTTTGTCCCTCATTAGTTTGAATTTGCACGCTTCATCCCTTATGGGACATAGAATGACTATAATGCCCTTTTAAATTTATTTTTTATTTATTTTTGACAAATCTGATTATTATTAATTATTAAAAAATATTTTAATCATTTATATACAATTTCTCTCCCCTCTCTCTCTCTCTCTCTCTCTCTCTTGTTGAAGAACACATCACCCCACCACCACCGGAGATATGCAAAACCACCAGTACAAACCCCTTTTTACCACCATTACCGTCCACCACCTCATTTTTTCTCTGCATTGTCTTCTTCTCAACTCCGAAAACCACCGAGTGCTGCTTTTCACCTCCGATAACCCCTACCACACCAAATCAGATTATGCCATCAAAAACCAAAATAAATCTGAAATCAAAATCCAAAATCAAATTCAAAACTTAAGCTACATGCAAAATCTCATATCAGAAAAGGAAATCATAACACCAAAATATAAGCTACAGTCTAAACAATACCTAGATGCTAAATTGAAAAACTCGAAACCCTAGTGCTTCCTGTTTGAGAGTTTAACAAAATCAGAACTGGGAGTTTAGCAGAATCAGAACTGGGTTTTGTAATCCTTGAACCCTATCATGAACCATGATCTTCTTGGAGGTTGCAACCATGATCCTCGATTTCACACACCCACACACACGACGACTAGTAAATCAAACAAACCTAGGCCACATTAGCAGCAGGGAAGGCGACAACAGGACATGGAAGGCGGCGACGGGCCACTGGTGTTCTTAAGGCAGATGGGAGAACAAAGATAGGGGATGGTAGTTTGGGGTCCGATTTTGGTTCACTGATTTGGGGTTTCGCCGGTTTCATGGAGGTAAGTGGCAGCACTGTGTAGAGTGGGTGAAAAAAAAAGGAATCGAAGGTTGAAGGAATTTGTAGAAGGGGAAGGGGAAGGGGTAGGGATTATCTATTTTCATTTTTTTTAATCTAAAAATATTAAATATAAAACAAAAGAAAATAAGAAATCAATAAATAAGGGCAAAATAGTCTTTTTATGCCCAGAGGGATGAAGCGTGTAAATTTTAAACTAACGAGGGACGGTCCGAGTTAATTTTTAAAAATAGGGATTGAACGTGTTTTTTGGCACCTGCACGAGGGACGATTCGTGTAATTTACTTA